GTGATGCAGGAGACAGGGTGGGTGACTCGGGAAGACCTCCAGCACCCACGGGCATCACCCACCTTCCCCCACAGACACGGTCGTTCCCCGCACTCCATTCTTCCAACTTAATCAGTGCTTCTGTCAACGCAAGTATCACACGGCTTCATAATTGTGTTCTGTCACCTCTTCTCGCTGCCTCTAGGGCAAGAACTGTATTTCATGTGTCTTTGATTCCTCAGTATTTTGTGTGGTATCTGGCAGAGAGCAAGCCTTCAATTGATATCAAGCTGAACCACATCTAGATAAAGTCAGGTCAGCTAAGGAAGGGGGAGATGGTTGAGGCCAGAGGCCCAGCACATGGCCACGATAGGAGTTCTGGCTGTCACCATCACAGCAAATACCTACTGAACAGCGTTCTGTTTCCTTGGCCTTTGTCTTCTTATTGTGCGTGTTTCTAGATGGTGTCTGTGCTCACTTGAGAGAGAGAGAGGAGACAACACCCTTTATGGGGATGGCCACCCTGCAATCCTCCATCTTTCCCTCCTTTCAGAATTTTGGGCTTTCATGCACATGTGCCTCGTGTGTTTCTCAAGCTGCTGGATCCAGGACTTGAACTTCGTGGTGGTCCATGTGGGATTCAACTGCCTTAACCAGGAGGCCATGGAGTCAGCCCGGTTTTACTATTTTCTAGGCATTCTTCTTGGTCATGTTTGAGTAAGCAAAGAACAAAGCTTCATTTCCACAAATGAACTTGTGCCTAGAAGAAAAAAAAATCTGATTCTGAAATATGCACTGTGTATTAACTGCACTTCTCAGACCAGTAAAGGAGCAGGCATGGAGAAGTTAAGTAACTTGTCCAGGTAATACAACTAATAAATGGAGGAGCCAGGATTCTAACCCCAGGCAGTCTGGTTCTAGTGTTCATTTTTCTTCATCACTTTACGTTACTCAAGAAGTGTAGGACTGGAGAACACCCCTGAATTCCTCTGGTTGAGGAGTTGGATTAGATGCCAGCGAGTTTATGTGTGCAGTGGCCCTGCAGAGGAATCTCACCCCTAACTGAAGCAGAGCATCCAGACTCCAGCCATAAATTCTCAAACTTTAATATGTATCTGAATTACCTAGAGAGTGGGTTGGTTTTGTTTTGGAATCCAAATTGCTAGAGGGTGTGTGTGCTCACAGAGAGAGGCAAAGGAAACATACATGCATGAGAGAGAGACTTGGACCTCTGGAGACCAGGATTTAGGTGCTACCTGGCTGATGAACTGGGAGTGACAGAGAAGCATCATTGATAGAGTCCTAGCATGCTAGGACTTCTTTGACAGGTCCTCTAGCTCATCAAGATCTTGGGTATGGGGCATGGGAGTATAGGCCTGGTGTGTTTTCAAGCCAGTCTGGGGAATTTAACCAGCAGTTGCCATGTGGCTTCCAGCACTGCAGTTAAATTAGCTACCGGTTGTGCCATTAGGCTTATTGGTATCAAACTCTTATGACTGTTGTGAATTCACGTGGTTACAACTGAGGTGGGGTATGCCTGAATACTACTCACTTTGTCCTTTAAAGAGTGTAAGTCAGCTACTGGAAAGCATCCAGTTAGAATTACTGAAGAGAGATTCATCCATCTAATGCGGCAGCGAAGATGAAATAATAATTTTGACCTGAAGTTACTGATAGAAGGCTTCATACTGGATATGGGCCTTGAAGGGGTTAGAGGTGGGATTTGGTGTAGGACAGACAATCCCTGCTAAGGGAGAGCAGTATGAGCAATTTTGGGGTGAGCACCTAAGCAACAAAACTGCATTTTTATTCCATAGGAATGAAGTGTGGCTAACAAAAAATGTGTATGAAGAAGTAGCTGGAAGCAAAATAAAATACACGGGATGATGCCACAATACAGAATTTTGACTTTCAGGAACCTGAAGATGACCTTACCTAAAATTCAGATGGCCACCCTAAATTCAATAAATGATCATTCTCTTTTGTCTGTCTGAGCATATAACATCTTTATCATGCCAAAAACAGTGTGATATCAATCTGGGGTCATCAGTAATTATGAACCATCTCCCCCAAGTATCACACCACACTTCGCCTTTGAGTCCCACCCTCAACATGAGGTTATTAAATAGATCTCTAACTGGGTCATTGTGTCAACATGCAGCTTTCTCTGATAAGGGCTCCATGCCTTTCAGATCTAATTGTTTTGCAGTAATGTCTCGGGCTCGTTGCACATGGAATTGATTGGTTCTTGCACTCCCTGAATTGGTGATATGTTTTTCTGAGAGAATCTGCAAGTTTGGAATGTGATCATATACAATAGCAAAATGGGTGGTAATATTTTCCCATGCCTCTAATTTATGTATGTGTGCTGGAGTGATGATTTAGATAGGAGCTCGATAAATTGATCAAATAAATTACACCAAACCCACACACCATCATTTCAGAGAGCTGTCATCATATCCAGGAGGTTCTCTATCACCCAGCATGGTGTTCCAGAACTGCTGTTTTCTTCACGTGCTGCTGGGCTTTCATTTGGTCGGAAAGGTCTTTATTTCTCACATTGGCCAACAATATAAGGAGTTGAGCTCTGGGCAGCATCGTTTAGCTGTGGAAGATGATGAGTATTAGCTGTGTGACCTTTAGCAAGCTATTTAAATTCTCTAAGCCTCAGTTTCCCTTTCTGCACATATAATATATATTTATAATTTCTACCTCCAAATGTTTAAGAGTAAGCAATATCATGGGACCAGCAGATGGCATAGCAGTTATGTTGCTGGGCTTACACATGGCTAACTGTGATTCTACCTGGACCTGGTGGCTTGAAAATCATGTGAGGCATGCGTGCATGCCCAAGATCGCAGGAGGAGAATAGAGAAGAAGGGATTGCAGCATGGCCATCCCCCCACCACAGGGCAGGGGGCAGGGAGTGATTCTTCACTTTCCCTCTCACTGTCTCTTTCTGGTGAGCGCACATGCTCTCAAACAAACAAACAAACAAACACAAAGAGTAAGCAATATGGATTGAGAGAGTGGAGAGAATCTGGATGCCAGACAAATGTAAGCTCATAGCCTAGCTCCATCACCTGCTGTGTTAATCACAGGTCCTTTGTGAGCCTCAGTTTTCTGGTCTGTAAAATGATATCAATGATGATTCTAAGACAGTACCTTCTCCAAATTGCATGCTGGAGATCTCAGTCCATTTTCTGTTGTTGTAACAGAATACCTGAGACTCAGTAATTTTTGAAGAAAAGAGGTTAATTTAGCTCACAGTTCTGGTGACTGCGGAATCTAGGAACATGGCGCTAGCCTCTGCTCAGCCTCCAGTCACAACATGGCAGAGAAGTGGAAGAGCAAGTGGGCTTGTGCAAAGAGTCACGCATGAGAAGCTGAGCTTGATTTATGACAGTCCACTCCTATGAGAATAATCCATTCCCAGGAGAATGAACCCAGTCTCACAAAAGTGAGAATGGCACCAATACACCCACAAGGGCAATGCTTCATTGACCCAGAAGTCTCCTATTAGACCCTGTCTCTTGAAGGTTCCACCTCCCAGTGTTTCTGCAATGGGACCAAGCTTCAACATGAGTCCCTGTGGGGACAAACCATGTTCAGACCACATGGGGTTTTCTAAAGGAAGCCAGGTAGAAGGTGCAGAGACTTAGTCTAACTCACATCCCAGAGACATCAATACCTCAAGAGGTGTGACTACGAGATTGGCTCACCTCAGATGCTCAAGTGTACCAGAGACTGGGCACGGAGAAGCAGCTGTTCCTCTAGACAGCAACCCAGCGTTGACCTGATGAAAATGGTGTACGTATCGATGCAAGATAAATATATTTGAGAGGAAACAATGACTGTGAGAACAAAAACACTGTAAGAAGGTGTGCAAAGTGGGGGGCAGGTGATGGTACAATGGTAATACAACTAGACTCACATGGGAAAGGTCCCAGGTTTGCTTCCTGGGACTTCCCTGAGTACACTGGGCATGCATGTTCTTCGGGATCCAGGTGGCTATGCCTGGGGTGGATCATGGTCTGAAGATCCTGTTGGAGGTGCCTGTATGTCTGTATCTCTCCCTCTCTTGTCTCTCTGTCATAGAAGAAAAAAATTAAAATAAAAGGTGTTCATATGATGTCTCTCCTCTATGGATTCTCATTTCATGAAACAAAGCTATTAGATCTTCAGAAAAGTTATGACATAGTTTTCTTTTTTCCTATGTAAAAATGTGTCATGACTTTTTCGACAACCCAACAATTCCTTTCTCCCTACTATCTGAAAGCAATTTCATGCAGCTGGCAGGTGGTGTGGACTCCCACATGGCCGACTGTGGTTCGAGTCCCAGACCTGACAACTTGCTTTCTCACTTTCCCCTTCTCTCTTTCTGTGTCTCTTTGGTCAAATTAAAATAATATTAACAACAAAAATAATTTTTTTAAAAAAGAAAACAACTTCAGTCTGTGCCCAGAAAACCAGGAAATAATTATACAGTGGGAACTATGAAGGGGGGACCTTCAAAAAGTTCGTGGGAAATGCATACTATGAAAAAACTAGTGATGATTTCAAGTTTGTGGGCATCAAAATAAACTCATACTTAAATTTTGTTTTCTAGGAACGTTTTCAGTTCCCTACATATTACAATGGGAATACTTGGAGAAGAGTATGTCACTCAATAAATATGTGTTCCATGAATGCATTAGAGAATGAATACATAAATGGGTGGGTGGTTTTGGATTCTGGCTGTTTCACAGATAACTGGGTGACCTAGGCAAGTTAATTAACTGTCTAGGCCTTCATGCCTTCCCTATAAAGTGGAGCTAATAAAAACAGCTGATTGTGAGAATTAAATAGTTAATGTGAGCTAAGCACTCAGGTGGGGGCCTAGCACTTAATAAAAACCCCTAATAAAGGAGAACTGTGTGATGATAATTTGCCATTATTCTGTTCTGTGTTCAGCAGCCTGAGATCCAACAGGCTTGGCCTTTCCTTCTAAGGTATTGTTTTCTCTGCGTTTTACATTACAGGTCAGCAGGTCCTGGGCTTGGTAGAGAACCAGAGTGACTGGTACCTGGGAAACCTGTGGAAAAATCACCGTCCTTGGCCAGCCCTTGGAAGGGGCTACAACACAGGTAATCACACGTGCGGCACAGGTAGGGATACCTGACATAGGTCAATATGAGAGCCCAATGCACCGTCCTTCTGGAGGGGAGCTAGGCACACACTGAAGCACAGCTGGTTGCCTGAATTTGGCAGTGGGCAGGAAGCAAGCCTCTGTCATTCCAGTTCATACCGAGTGCCAAGCTAGGGGGTCTTGGCCGTCAGTAGCAGTCTCTCCAGAAAACCTGACTCTCAGATGTCAATCCTCTTGGACCTCTTTACCAGCATACCCATATAGCCTTCTAGAGGTCATTCTGCAGTAACAACTCCAACTTGTCAGTTTCTTAACGCAACAGGGACTTATTTTTCTCCATCACGTTGCAGATACATTCTGGGTCTACTGGAGGTATTCCAGATTTGGCTTGATGCATATTCCACTTATGGCGTGGGAAAGTAGCATATCTCACAATTTGTCTTAAAGTTTCTCCTCATGTTCACTGCCTACTGCATGTCATGCGATCAGGCCTCCCAGGGTGTGGGCAGGTTTGGTCTACCTCATGTCTCCCAAGAGAAAAGGTGGAAATATTTGATAATCCTGCTAAGCATCACAGCCTTTAAACACCATGTGTCTAAAATTAAATCCATTATACTGCCTTGATACTAACCCCGAACTTGCTTCTCATACTTTGTCACACTTGTCTGTCTCTGTTATTGTCATTCATTCATTCCTTGTTCAACAACTGTCTTAAATACTTGCCCAGTACTAAGTCCAATGCTAGTGCACTGGACACAGTTGGTGACCTCATGGAGTATGTAAGGAATGCAGCTAGAGCAACCTCCCTTTCCTAAGACTCAGTTCCTGCCAGTGTCTATCTTTGACTGCCTCTGGTCTTTCTGCCCCTCCTGACCATCCTCATTGCCACTTCGTTGATACTGTGATTCAGACTCTGATCCCAATCAGGATTAGAACTTGGAATTCGGGGGGGGGGGGGGGCAGTAAAAGGGATGAGTCCCAGAAGGACTGGGGCCTGGGATCTGAGACCA